GATATGAGAAGAGTGTCGGAGCAATGTCTTTGTCCAGAACGCCGGTAAGACAAGAAGTACTTGATTGAAGGGCATGGGGCTCGGCCGCTTTGGCGCTATTTCAGCGTGTCAACTTCAACGATTGGAACAACTACGAACTTGTTTCAAGCACGCCCTATCCTTAAGGTGCGTGAAAAATGGGGAGCGGGGCCGGACTGACGCCAACTCACAAATTGCGGCAACCACGTGATTACTACTCTACTCGGAATGGTTGAACAAGAGAATGATCGAGACCTCGACGTCACTTTTGATAAAGGTTAATCCTTTTGCAGGCGTGCAAAGGCCGGTCAAAACGGCGGCAAAGGCGTGGAACCTACTTCGAGAGACAGCATGTGACTCGGCGGTCGGGTGAAACAGCGCGGGAAGCTTAAGCGGGGTGAACCACTGGACCACGCCCCCCGGGTGAGCCTACGGAGCGGTTTTTACTGTAGGAGAAAGCGGATCCAAGCGGGGCTTCTGGCGAGAGGAATCTTGATAAAACGAAAGGCGTTTTCCGCTTGCTCTGTCCAGTGAGTGTCAAATGAATCTGCACCTGGATAGAGTCGGGGCTTGCTTTGGCCACTTTCACGCTGACTTCGGTACACCTTTAGATCGCTCGTATTTGCTTCGTAATGCTTATTGACGACAATGTTTGCATCAGAAAGTGCTTTGCTGTCGGGTTTGTATAGGGATGGCCATTGGCTCCGAGTCCTCCAATGCAGGGACGTGGAGTGTATCATGCATTCGAGCATCTGCTTGGTTAAAACCAGTCTGCAAAGGTCCAGAATCCAAGGGCCAGGACAACTGCTAGGTCTTGACGTAGCAGTTCTGATGCCAGATTGGTCAAGGCCGTTCAGGCCTCCAGAATTTTCCGCTCTCCAAACACTGGAATCCAATGCCTTCAAAACACCTGAACGCGAGAAAGTGGAGACATTCAGGTCGGGACAAGGCGGTAGCCAGCTGGAAGGTGTCAAGTCTATCCAGGATTGCAGATTGTGTAAATGCGCTTTCTTTGGACAACGCCTTCACCAGGCATCCGCTCAGCCTGCTTGCGCTCCCCTCAGTCTCAGTACGACCGCGACCCCGAAAACTTGCTGAAGTCCGACGCCTCGAAATGTTCGGGGGTGAACCTTTTCTCTCTAAGTTGGATGCGGGCGGTACCTATTTTCATGCAAGTAGACTAGTCAAGCCCCCGAAAAACAAAAGCTCGCGAGCATCATTTTCAACGCCGGCAATTGGGCGTAGCTTCCGACTGCTTTGCCCGTGAACTGTTAAGAAGCGGGTGACAACAATATCCGTTAAACCCAGTAGGCTGAAAGCTTCAGACGTTTGGCTCTCTGTCACTAGGTCTCGACGAGGCGAGCCACTAGCGCCTCCCAAAGTGTTGCAGTTCAGCCACGCCCCCGACTAGCAGAATTCCGCGCGCATTATCTTCAGCACCGTCTCTACTCCGGACACACGCTTCCCAACGTCTCCCTAGCTGCCTCAATCGGAAAGATTACGCGGCTGCGTAGAAGCTTCCGAGCGCAGCGGGCCGCGACAAAGGCCGTGTTCTTCCGGACCAAATAAAATCCATGGCAAGCATCCAGTTGAAATGGACCAGCAAGTGCCTGATGGAAGCATGACGTCACCACGTGCTGTCCAGTGAAATCCTCTTGTGTCTTTTGAGTCACAGTTGCATGCAGTCTCCTTTTGTCCAGAAGATACCGAGAATTCCGCGGAGACCGCGCGGTGTTTCTTGTTAGTCTGTGCCTGGAATAGCTGTTAAAAGCCGTTCGAAACTCAAAGGAAATCCTGGCTTGATTAAATTGGCCACCAACAAGGCGATGGAGATATTCTTCGACTCGCGTGAATATTGAGAAGTCGGAAACGTAGCAGTTTGAGCTGAAGAGCAAGTCTTACAGACTCGTGAGTCATCACGCTAGTGGGAAAGGTCCTTGGCGAAGCTGACTGACGTCATGCAGTCCGTAGGGTTAGCTGGTGACCAAACCCGGCTAGGAAGTGCTGACGGAACACTCGGAACGCTCCTTTGTTTCTGACAGGTTGAGAACCTCGACAGCTCGAAGGGCCCACAACTTGCGTTGAAGTCCGCCTATATAAACCCTCAGAAATGGAATACTCGGCTGCGGAGAAGACGGCTCGCGATTGAATAGGAAAGAACGCGTATCAAAGACAACTTTTCGGGAAGACTGAGTTTGAGAATCTATGGCGCATGATAACGAAAGTCTATCTTTGGACGTTGCAGGTGGAGCAGCTGAAGGAGCATGATCCAGGCGCGGGGCACTTTCTCCGACACCGAAGCCACCGGTTTTGCCATCCCTACGGTGAGCAGATTGCCCCTTTCCACTGACATGTGTCCTTTTCTTCTACGCCCACCGTTTTCCGGAGAGCATCTTCCGCAAAACTAAAGCCACCGAGGTCGTCTTTGTTGCCATCCCCACAAGATCAGAGCGCCTACCACGACTGCCACGTGTCCTTTTGTTACACGTCCACGTGTCATACTCGGACGGGGCAGCTCCACGTTGACCTCCTCCCTGGGCTGATTGACTCTGGCGCGTCTGCTGCCGGGCCAGGGAAACCGCTCTGGTTGCGTTTTGTATTGCTCTAAAAGCGAGAGGCAGTTCAGGTTTTGGTTTTAGACAGGAGGCCAGGCATGTTGGAGGCCGTCGCGTTTGAGGTCGATATCCTCGAAGCCATCGCATTGTTTGTATCGACGTCATTTCTGAACTTACTAGGTTTATTTACAACTCTGCCTTCGCTCTTTTGGGTCGACCGTTTTCCGTGCCCTCCCGGGCTATTTTTTCGATCTGTCACACGTCAAAATTGTTGCTTTTTTGAGCACTCTCTCCACGGAAGCTGTTTCTGCTACTAATCTCATTCCTAGTGCAAAGATAGGGGCTCTGTGGACATCGAACTTCCACAACCTTCGGGCCCCAAAGGCATGAGGTTGATCATCTGCGGAAGGAGCCTTTTTCGTTCCCATAAGGTCTGAGCTTTGAGAGAAAGCGCTTTGTGGTACAGCGCCAGCGTGCACCTCAACGTACATAAGTCGACATCAGCCAAGATTATGATTTCTGGGCTTGTGATTCTGCTCAAAGTCCCTAGCTTTCTGGCACGCATCTCACAGTGTCCCCATCCTGACCCTTGAATCAAGGCTTTGTTCCCTGACCTTAAATCATTTTCAAATCACTCCAATTTCTCTTTCTTTTGCTCAGTCATTCCTGGCCTTGTATGACGAGTTTCGCCGCCGTAACGCCGTTGATGACCTTGCTGACTTCCAGGTAATGGCAATCACCGAGAGCGCGCGGCTGCTCAAAAGCTGATGAAGGAGGGCGTGCCCCTGAAACGCCTCATCGTCAAGTAGCTCCTCTCAGAAACGCCCTGGCACCGACTGCAAGATCTGCAACACCAAACGAAAGGTGCAGAACTTTCGCACGTCTTGTGTTTCGTCTCGCCTTTGCGAAACTCTGATGAATCACGTGTGCATTGAGAGGTTGAGTTCAACTCGATATGGCGCTCCAGTTGAGCCACGTCATGGCCTTCTGTCGCAAGTCTTAACCAACTTCAGTCGAGGGCCTTCTTTTGGTGGTTGTGCGGTCGAGTGCTCCCTTTGGCCGCGCCTTGTGCTAGTGGGGCCAAGGACGAGATTTGCCGTTCTTCGAGAGCTATGTTGTGAAATATTTAACCATTTTTGTTGATCTGAGAATGCTGCTCCTTTTGGCCAGCCTTCCTCCAAAATGTATCAAAAATAAGCACTACGCTGCCCAAGATTTTTGTTAGTATTGGGTAAACGATCCCGAAGTGACGGCTTTCTACTGGCTCATGCAGGATTAAGCTCGGGCACTGGACTTCGCACACATTGACGCAGATTTGAAGGACCTCAAAACCATTGAGCCACCGCTCTTCGACCTTGAGATACGGGGAATGCCTGCCCTGCAATACATGGGTGATGTTGTTTGGCGGTAGCTGCCTCCTTATGAGGAGCAAGCAAGGTTAGGAGCGATGATTGCGGCACCCGTATTAGTGAACGTGGTCTTAAAAATGTCGATTCCCACTTCAAGACCAACAAGACATGCTGATATTATACTCGATCAAGGAGTTACTAGCTTGCCACCAGGGTGGTTGTGTTGCCGCGGTGCGTACATTGCCTCTGCTATCTGCTAGCCTGAGATTACGCGGCCAGACTACGCATCATGGCATGTTCTAATTGTCGAACATTTATCAGACTCGGCACTCATCTTCCGAAAGTTCATGTCCGACATACCGTCTCGAGTTGTTTACTAGACTTAAACTCGCTCAGGCACAGAAGCGCAATTAATGTGAAGCCATGCAAGCTATGGTTTACTAGGCTACAGCTAGTGACTCAGTCACGGTGCAGTCAATACTCAGTGCATGCACAGCAGGCTTGCTAAACATTGTGAAACTCAAGATCGGCGTATATCGAGCTCATAAGTGCCTGGCCATGCAATGATAAATTGGTGGAAGTTGCGGAATCTAGATTGATCGATGCATGAATAGGACCCGGGCCGAGTCGCGACTTCTCGAGCAACGTACTAAGTTCGTGACGGTGGCGGCCGCCCGTCATGCTATACAAATCGCATGACCTAAATCAATTTGACGTTGGCCGGAATGTGGTGTGGCCGCCTATATGGTACGCATAACTTCTTCGCGTTGGATGCAAGCTAGTATGTCACGTATTTGGGATTTACACCCTTTATATACAAATGTCACATTAGCTAGCACCGTATACAAAGCTTGTATAGAAATTAGCTTACATTTCAAATCTTAGAAATTCCCCATACAGCGTGCGATCAATCATTGAATATCATGTTGTTCACATAACGATCTCTCAACTTCGGCGTGCTGAGAAACGAAGTTTACTTCAACACTGAGTGCACGTGACCGCGCGCCGCTCGTGCGCAGATCAATACCTACTCAATCAGTGACGAAATTGCATATGCATGTGATATCACCGTCCTTTGGTCCGAGCATGACCGTTGTGTAAACATTGATGGAGCAAGTTTGTATTCAGTTCAAACGTGTGCAAACTTGCAATTTAGACGTTACAAACTACGTCGGACCAGATTCATTGCCATGTTGAATGTTTATTTGTTGCCAACGGTCACTTTTAGTTCGTTTCAGTCCAACTTTCACTTTTTCACGAGAAGCCGGCTTAGCTAATTCGGTCCGACCGTCCAGATCCAGCAACTTTGCTACAGCACATTCAATAGGCACAACTTTAAACACCGCAGAACCTATCACAGCGCGCAGGTGGGGCGCAGCCCACCTACCAGTCTGAAGCCACACGCTACGTCTAGGTCCGATACAACCTAGTCGAATGGTGCCTGGCATATTCCAAAGACACATTGCGGTGTCTCTGGCTCGCAATGGACTCCGCAGCCGCCACAATTGGTCGGGTCACCGAAAAACAGGAAGGTCTCGCAACCGTTTGTGACGTCGTTGTCGCAGTTGCCATAGATGCCCTCGTCACACTCAATGGTACAACTCCCTACGACGCACGATGGTAGGCCGTTATTGCTGTTGCAAACAGTACCGCAGGTGCCACAGTTGTTGATACTCCCATCCAGGTACATCTCGCACCCGTTACCCCGACTCCCGTCACAATCTCCGTAGCCGGAGTCACAATTGCCGGAGTAGTCACAGAAAGCGTTGGAGCACGTTGGCATCGCGTGCATGATGAAATTACTGCAGTCTCCATTGAAGCAGCTGCCGCAGTGACCGGGGTCGTTGAACACATCCGTCTCGCAGCCGTCCGAGGAGTCCCCGTTGCAATCATAGTAGCCTTCATTGCACGCGCCTAAAGTGCAGACGCCATCCAGGCAGAATGCAGCCGCGTTGTCGAAGCTGCATGTCGTACACGTGTCACCGCAGTTGTTCGGGTCGGTGTTGACGTCAGTGCACACTCCGTTGCAGCACGTCTCGGAGCACGGGGTGGACCCGTCGCAGGTGTAAAAGCACTCGCACTGCGATTCCCCGGTCATGGCTTGGAGAAGGCCGCGCGACTCCCGAGTAGTTGTAGCTTGGAGGAGTCGCCGACCCGGAGTCCCGGAGCTCTGGGAGGTGGACAGGAAGGCGCTCAGCGCAATATCGCTCTTCGTCGCGTTGTTGACGCCCTGCGTATGTAGAAGCGGGCGAGACGATTTGGAGACGGTTTAAAAGTGGAGGACTTGTGGGCCTAAAGCCAGTACGCTTTGTAATCTGGGGTTCGGGAGTGGAAAAGAGAGAATATTAGATTGGAGCCAAAGATGTCGGGAGCGGATGCCTAGGTCGAGGAAAGACTAGGTTGAGTTAACCATGAAGAGAGCAGAAACTTTGGATTTCGCGACCTCCAGAGATCTGTATTCAACACAAAAACTTGGTCAGACGCAGATCAGACGTGCGCTTCAAGGATGCAAGTTGGCAGTCTGAAATAGGCAAGGGTCAACATTGGATAAACCGTACTAATGCACATGGACGGGTAATTAATTAGAATTGGACCCGGCCATGACAATCGTCTGGTGATATGGAGCAATTTCTAGCGTGCCCAAAGCTGGCTCGGAAACCAATGGTCCGAAGCTTTGAGTGTCAGGAACACGGAAAGAAGCTGAGGGGTCCGAACAGAACCAGCTCAACTACCGATATAAGTCGATACTGGCCGACGAGGCTTGCGGGCTTGCCAGTGCACAGAGTAATCTCGAGCATGATGGGGACCATTCCAGAAAGGATGAGCAAGTTAGTAAGCAAACAATAGCAGACGAAGCGCATGCTTATATGTAAGCGGAAAATTTGAGCAAAGTCCAAAGTCATGTCGGATTGAATGAGCTCGAAACCGAAGGAGAACTGCTGTCAATGCTAATGGCGAAAGCACCCAGGCGGCACCAGATATGCAAGCTTGTCGCGCATGTGCAGCTGCCGCTTCACAAAAGAACATAAGAAACACGACATGTTTCGAGAAAGGAGGCTAACCTGAAGCCCTTCAACGGCTCATAGTACTTGCAGGTTCGTTTTGGAACGGGAGGTTTTGCAGCTTTCTACCTTTCAACAACGCTCAGGCTTGCCTGGGCAAGCAGTCACGCCAACTAAGGCCCACGTCCAGATACGGGTAGAGACACGGAGCACGAGCAAAAACGTACTTGTCTCATAAGCCCCTACAACATTAAAAGAAACAAAAAGAGAAATCGGAGCGAGAAGCACGCACCATCCCAAAGCGGTTGAAGGAGCAATCAGTCCCGCTTAGGTTAGACGTCAGGTAATCCTCGTCAGATCCTTCCACGTACTCGCGGTGATGGAAGCCGTCGAGAGTACCCATGTTCAGGCGCTTCTCTACAGCCCCCGGCGCATACATCTGCCCCAGAAACTGCAGATCGAGGAAGAGAGAAACTCAGCCGAAGCGGAGCCCACGCTCATCAAAAGTGATCTGATCAGGGTTTGCTGAGAGAAAACATATCAGCAAAGGACGTTCCAGCCAGAGGAATCCAAGTATTGGTTAAAGCTGGCCTCTCTCGTAGAGGTCAGGTTTGCGTGGGACCGGGTGAAATTTCGTTTCCTGATCAAACAGAATGAATGTAGAACTACGTTGCAAAACGAAACCCGTGCACAATGAACTAAAGGGCCAAGTGATCTGCCTAGACCCCCTTTCTGCTTTTAATTGATACGGTTCGCAATGAGTCACATCTAAGGTCAGAGCCGTTAACATTGATTGCAGAAACTTGTCTATATCCAAGCAGTTGGAACGACAACGGCCGGGACTTCGTATTCAGGCAGTTTTGAAAGATGGCATGCGTTCTGCCCAGGTCAGCAGTTGCATTATAAGATCACTTACTCCATGAACTTTGGGAGTCGTGGCAATTGTCTTGATCTCAAAGTTGAGGAAGTATATTGGAGGCTCGGTGATGAGCTCCGTCTCTTTTTCCACCTTGACCTCCAAAGAAAGGAGACCGGGGATGGAAATTGAGAGAAAGTGGTTGGAAAGACGAGTTGCGGTGATGCTCTTGTCAGCACTTGTCCAAGTGACTTCACCCTCACTAAACTGCAAGGAAAGATAAGGAGGGAATGAGCGACGTTGACTCCTTGTGAGCAAGCTCAGGGGCATGACAAACCAATGGCCCGATAGAACTTTACAATAAGGAGGAGAAACATCAGGCTCACATGCACCGCTATCTCTGGGTCACGCTAATTCTTATTCTGGCCTTGGCATTGAAAAGCCTGGTAATCCTGGCAAAGACTTGTATATTCAGAGAGTCTGCACTCGAGTTGCTCTGCTGAGTCCATCAGCTGCTCCTAAAATGACAATCCTCTAGCAATAGACAACAATCAGCGCTCGGTCGACAGGAACTAAGGAACAGTGCTGAGCAAAGCTGAGCATGCAGATCAACATTGATTCAACTTAGACAAAAAACAAGAACAACGCATGCTGGACTAGGTATCCGACTCAAGTACCTAGAACTATAATAAGACTAGCCTTGACTGAAAGAGTAGAAATTCACCGGGTCCATTGCAGCATCATTGGCAAGGAAACGGATGATGTAAGGGTCTCCCTGAGATGCGCGGGCTTGCGTGTGATTGAGCAGGATCTCCAGGCTCTGCTTCTCTCCGTGCTCGTCGAAATACATGACCCCGATTGCATCCATCCAGGTGCCTTCAAAGAAGTCGTTGTCAGCTTCTGCCCTTTGCTCAAGAATGGAGACGTCAGTTGGCATACCGAACATATGGACGTTCATCTGCAAAGGGGGCAGATGGCACCATATGAGAGCTGGTGCAGAATCTCAGAATGGGCCAAAAGTAGATTGTTAGCTTCACAGGTTTGACCTTCTTGATGGCCAGCCATGCATGCGCAGGCACCTTTATAGAGTCAACCAAAACTGGAAGATTTGACCAGGCGTTACTTTGCACGCCAAACATCTGCTCTTACTAAATGTTATTGGTACCTCTCAAGGGCTTCCAGACAAAAGGGGACTGTGTGCTCAGACGCTATAAGCAGGCTGCTCACATGCTGATTCTTGCTTGACTTGTAGTTCCCTGCTTAGGTGAGATCTAGACGTATTGATTGACAATCCACGTTTCCTGACTTCTTCACCCCTACACCAAGCAACGGGTCCTTCTGCATGAAACCACGCGAAGAATTTACATCACAGCCCGGGCCAATCACTCCAAAGGAGACTTACGCCTAAGAAGGTATCTGAAACCATGCAGTAGCTTTCGTTGCCTTTGCCATGAAAGTCCCATGTGAACTCTTGGTCATCTGGAAGCCCGGTGAGCTGAAAGTGGGGATCTTCTGTGCCGGCTGACCCTGCAAAAGAAGAAGAGCTGGCTTCGGACAACAGAATTGAATGTCAAAAATGCTTTTTGGCCATTACTATTGAACCACCAGCCTGCGCATCAAAAGCAAGAATCAGTGTGCTAGTAGACTCCTGAAGTCAAGATGATAGCGCCTTTCTGGATTCTCGTCACAGCAGCAGAATATGAATGAAGGTCGCTCTACTAGTAGTCCATTTGCTAGGAGACTGTTTACCCACAAGAGTAGAACGGCGTGTAATCCTTCCAGCAAAGAGTCAGAAGGCAAAATTAACCATACAGGGTTGGCCAAAGAGGTGTTTAAAGTAGAAGCTAGCCAGAACATGGAAACGCAAGAGCTTGAAGCATGGGACATTGCTTCAGTGACAATGCTGACTGTTGTAACATCTCCTAGAGGCCTTCGTCTCTTTCCTGTGTGGCGTTCCTCACCTGCTCCACATGTAGCTGCATTGCCGCTGCATGCGAAGTTCAGAGAAGCAGCGCAGCACTCGGTGCCGCAGGGGGTTCCACAATATCCTGGAGCATGCAAGGGTTCAATGTTATTCAATATCCAAGCGGGAGGGTGGCTGCTTTTCCAGCTCACAAGTGAAGCTAGTTTTGCTGAGTACTGTTTCCCCTCTTATGGCACATCAAATAACAAGCTGCCACTTTACCAGCCTGTTCAAGACTAGGCAAGGATACCTCGCAAAGATTAAAGCTATAAAGCAGAGGCTGCCTGTCAGTCTGTCAAAGCAAGCCTAAAGAGGGGTAGCCGGTACACGCATTTTCCAAAGAGACCCGGTTTGCAACCCAACAGCTAAGGCCACAATTTAGCGTGATATAGCTGGCTCAATATTGAAATGATAGTGTAGAAGATGATGTAACTGTCAAGCATTATGGGCACACGTACATTTCATGCGTCCGCACACTTCCTTGCTTTCAAGAGGGCTGTCTTAAGACATGTTGTAGAACGAGTTTAAAGAGCATCGTTTTCTCTTACCTGGAATTCCCGAGAACTCCACATCGTTGCAGCAAGTTCCTTCCCCACAATCCCTTGGAAATCCACGGTTTCCACTCCTTGAGCACTAATCCTGCGCCAATGCGCGGTGGAAGGAGCTTGCAGCAATGAGGAAGACCAAGCTCAAGGCTCGGAGCTTCACCCCCCTGAGCTTGTCAAGTCGCCCCCGCAGCCGCCAGCAGAGCTGAGCCATACTGGAGACCAGGAAAAACTGGCGCTAACGGTCTCATCTCCCGCACCCTAATTTAACGTATCCCTCAGTGGCTCAGGTGGCTGCGGATTTAGCTGCTCATGACGTTAGACTGGCAGGATAGGTATTCGAACCCCCTTCAATTAAGAGCCGCTGAGACGCTCTGTTAGATCCGTTTTTCCCTGGTTGTCTTGGCGCCGGTCTTGCCTGAAAATGTATCCCAGATTCCCAGCCCTCCCCCAGCCCTGACTTTCTGAGCGCAATCATCTAGCTGGAAGAGCTGACCAGCACCTTCAGCTTGTTCTGTTATCCAATCATACGTAGGGTAGTACGTACTGTACTACCCAGGGTTTCCCATGGATTTTTCGGCAGCCAGTCATTGAGCCGGCACTTGGTGAGATCTACCGGCCCGAACCGTCTCACGGCCTTCAAGCCGGCAGCCGACATCCTTCTATCTGTGCCAGCCCGGTGCCCTCAAAGCTTTCAGAATGAGCCTTCCTGGGCGGTTTGAATCATTGACAGGGGAAAAATGACAATAGTATAGCCTGGTTTTCTGCTATACACAAGCACTTGCACATACGAGCTGCGGTGCACGGTGGTGCACCGCAGAGAGTGACGCAATGAGTGTGCACGAAGTTAGGCGTAGTCGGCTCGTGCAGCGTGCGTCACAGAACGTACCCGGGTGGGCAGCGTCTGATCCGCATGGCCGGCCCAAATGCTTCATAAAGCGGACCGGTCATGTTTTGAGCAAGTCGCTAATTGTCTGTAGAAGTCTACTTAGCGACAAGCGACGCTACCTGAAACGCTAACGAAAGCGGTATGAACGAAAACTATGGACGCAAAAGTCTAACTGCGAATCACGAAGTCAGGGCCTAGCAAAAAGTCTGTGCCAACTACGAGAAGTGGACTAGCGAAAACTAGGTGACTGCAACTACGTCTGGGGCGACGCCAAGTGGAGCCGCCGAGGGGAGACGCGCCAATCCGCCGGGACGCCGCCGCCGGAACGCCCGCCGCCGGAATGCTCGCCGCCGCCGGAACGCCACCAGACCGCCAGTGGTACGCGAAGCTAGAACGCCAGGGCCGGAACGGGGACGCGAAGAGGACGAACGTACAGATGATGGGCAGCACCGTGACGTCGATCACTGTAGGAAACGGGAGCTGAACAGAGGCGTAAGAGGAAAACAACGTACCGAGAACGGGTGGGAGCGGCCGCCGGCCGCGGGGGGGGAAGCAGGTACAGCAAGGAGGCGCCGCCCTCCTTGCGCTGTGACTTTGATGCAGAGCGACAGATTGAAAGAGCTGTCGCGAGGATGCGGCTTCTTAAAGCCGCATATCGGGTTAGGTTACAGTGCTTGTTAGCAGAAAACCTCTGTTTTCGACTTCTGTTTATCGTCGAAAACTATCAATTTTATGCATTTGGTATAACCTTCAGCCGGTGGGGTATGATTTCTACCGGCTGCAAGCCGGCAACCGAGCCGGCAGGGTGCCTTCGGCACCGGCTGGTCCTCCTCTCCAACCGGCTGAGAAGCCCGCCTATGGGAATCCCTGGTACTACCGGTATTTCACAGTGCACACTGCCTCGATATGTCGACATCAGGCAATCAATCGTTGTAGCTGAGCCATGCTGAGTCTGCAATTCTTTTTCTGTTCCCTGCCTGGAACCCAAACCGGTCAACCTTAGGACCTACTCCGATACTCCTTCATTTTAGCCCTTTGATGGGCGAACAGTTCGCGGAACTTATAACCTCGAAGTTAATTCCGCGAGTTTGGGCAGCGCCGATAGACCGGTTTATCAACAAACCGGCTTGTCTGGGGAGGTCTGGTTATGGTGGGTTACCATGGACATCTGAGATAGCCGTGCCCTCCGGAGTCCGCACCCATGCCCACCCTAACCCCCAAACCAACCCTACCCGTCCACCGGGCACCTTCCTTAGCCAACATGGCCTTAGTCAACATGAAATCGAGACAAGTCGAAGTTCCTGGCTCCCAGAGTCCTATTAGTTCTCCTAACCTTACTCGGCATGCATAATGCAGGCTGTCCAAGCAGTTACTACTAACTAGTGCGCGGGAGAGTACCAATCCAGGCCCGCATGATCCAGGCCCGACAATTCAGGCCCGTCGATTTGTCGGACGATTTTGACCGGAGCATTGGAACTTAAATAGATTGCCTGGACCCTGTGTCTCGTTTTCCGTCCGCGGCACCCCCGCGATGAAGAACCGAGCTCTGCATTAACGTAATGAACCTCAACCTAGTAAGGTTTAGATTGTAAGCAGATAACTGCAACTGTATTAAACTGTAACTGTAACGGTAACTGTAACTGTAACTGTAACTGTAACTGTAACTGTAACTGTATTCCTGTAAGTGTAACTGTTGAGTGAACTTGGTCTCTGTAACTCTGTCTGTGCCGTTTTATTATTTAACCATGGCTGTACACTCTGCTAGAGTTGCTACTATTAAATTAAATATCCAGAGTCATGTCGGAGTTTTGAGTGTGACAGTAACCGTAATCAGAACTGTAAGTGTGACTGTATCCGTTTCTCTTATTGTATCACGAGGTGGCAACTCAAGTTTTAAAACACCTTGTGTTTTATTCATCTTATTTTTTCAAAACCGCATAAAATGATTAGCGCTAAGGTTTTATTCATAACCAACGGATAGAGCTCGTCGAGAGGTGCCTAAAACACCCCTTATTTTTGAAAATGGACCCCCCCTTCGATTTTAAAACCACTTTGAAACAGAATAAAACAACCAAAACGGCCGCAAGACATGTCCAGGATGAGGCTCCAGGATGAGGCGTCCTCCAGGATGAGGCGTCCAGGATGAGGCTCAAAATATCCCTGTTTTAAAAACAGCAAAACAACCAAAACGTTTTAAAAT